AGAGGATGCAACCCCCCTGGTTGAATGGGCCCTAACTCCTAGAGGCGAAGCTTGACTGCGCGCGTCATAGGCTAAGGCAATAGCATATGCTTATGAATGCATATGCTTAAGGCAATAGCTTATGAAAAGATGCTCTGACTTATGCCACTGGCTGGTGCAGTGGACGTAAATCTGATGAGCACAGACTGGACACAGTAAGTGAAGTCTTTCTCACTCCAGTGTTATGAACGGCGGAGGACAGAAGCCTTCAAGAACGATTGGATGATTGGTCGAGAATGAAACCTTAGGAAGATAATTAGGGTGCGGATGCAAAATAGCTTTGATCAGTCCAGGGGCAAAGTCTAGGCAGGATGGCGAGACTGACAGAGCCTGCAAATCCCCAATTTTCTTCAGAGAGGTAATAGCCATGAAAAAAAAACATCTTTAGAGTCAGAAACCTGACAGGCTCTGATTCTAGTGGTTCAAAAGGGGTGCCAACAAGAGCCTCAAGCACTATAGCTCAGTCAAGAAGGGACTGTCGCTCTGGTGAGTGGCCTCAACCGCTTAGCTTCACAAATGAAGCGGGGGACTACAGAGACCCCGTCAATAAGAGCGTGGTAAGCCAAAATGGTGGCCACACTCTGAGAGTACCAGGACGTACAGTCATGGCCAAAAGTATTGGCAGTGACATAAATGTTGTGTTTTGCAAAATTTGCTACTTAAGCTGTTGTGGTGTTCATTCACATTGTTTCTACAAGTATTGGCAGTGACATAATCTAGAAACAATGTGAATGAACACCACAACAGCTTAAGCAGCAAATTTTGCAAAACACAACATTTATGTCACTGTCAATACTTTTGGCCACGACTGTACCTGAGGACAATTTTTCTTGCAGGAACTCCAGCACTGAAACATCTTGGCAGTGAACTGGGTCTGCATGGTGTGCATGGTCCAACTTTCGAAAACGTGCCATCTGAGGGCATAACTTCTTCTAGTGGAGGGAGCCCTAACAGTTAGAATAGTCTGGATTACATCGGCTGGAAGCCCAGCATTTCTTATTTGGTCCCTTTCAGGGGCCAGACATGAAGGTTCCAGAGCTCGAGCTGGGGATGAAACACTGTCTGAGATAGATAGACCGGAATCACCCACGGTGAGCCGTCAAGGAGGGATATTAGATCTGAGAACGACACTCTGGTTGGCCAACGAGGTGCGTAAGTAAAATACCTACTGACAGTATTTACAGAGTCGCCAAATAGGCCGGAAGGCGACACGGGGGCATCAAGGAGGAGCACCTTGTCTCTATCCTCGATGCCCGTGAGGTTGAGCAACTGATGTCTCTCAGAGGCAACCATAGCAGCCATAGAATGGCCAATGGCATGGGCCGTTCACTCAGTTGCACAGAGAGACAGATCCGTGGCTCAGTGTAGTTCTGAAAACTACACTACCAGCAAGCGCCTCTTCCACCTGTGGCATCATCGTATACCCCTGTGCCTTCTCACCCATGATAGTCGAATAAATCAATGTTGTGGGTACAAAGATGCGAGGGGAATATGGCTTACTCCATGATCAAGACAGCTCATCATGGAGTTCAGGGAAAAAAGGGGAGAGACCAACGTTGGGGTCCCTCCACTCGGCCACCCAACAGAAATCTGTCGTCCAGCTTGAATGGAAACTACAATAAATATACAATTCTGTTCTCGATTGCTCCAATAGCAAAACTATGTTAGCATTTTATATGACTTTACAAAACAGGAAAAAAATATTGATTGATTAGGGTGGTCAGAGAAGAAAGAAATGTCAAATTTGCAATCACTTCCTCAGTGATGTGTTAGAAACATGTTGCAGTATAGGTTGAAAAAATAAATTTATTCAAGCCTCTTAAGGCAAGCTCACACTACACGACATTTGGCGGGACTTTGTTGTTGCAGACAGATTTCCGAAGTCTGCAACGATATCTCCGGATATCTCTGGAAGCCAAAATGGAGATCTTATGGTTTGCAATGTTTTTTTAAGTATGAGCAGTTCAGCAATGTGATCTGAGCAGTCAGAGATGCTGTGATCTTTTTGAATCTGTTTGATATTATCACTCACATAATCTTGATATCATGTATCCTAATGTAAATGAATGCAAGGCGAAAATGTTATCATAAAAGTTTACACTAATAAACTAAAATCTAAATAAGTGGTCTTTGCACTACTGAACAGTGTGATATATTTTATTTGCCATCAGTTTTCACTGAACAGACATGGACAGCCAGTCTGCATGTATTTCGGCACATTTTTTTTTTGTCTCATCTTCCCCCCAGACATAATCAGTGTTTATGTGACAGTGAGTCTTAGGATCTCTCCAACGTCTTGCATGAATTCATAAGAATTTTTTTTATTTTTTATTTAAATAACATTTTCGTTGTTGGTCAGGGTCGTCTCTTGGACAAAGTTCTTGTGGTTTGTGCAGCTTGTCAGCTTTTGGTGTAGTATGAGATCTGCTAAAACAAGAAAATGACAGATGACAAGAACACTTGTGTAGTGTGAGCACCATAGTGACGTAGTCTCATAGTCCTGTATTGTGAGCTTGCGTTAACTCTAACCCAAGCCTAACCCTAACATTAGCCCATTATGAAACCCAACCTTGAAATCTGATTGATAGGGATGTTGATCCAGGACCAACAAGGATGTTTATCCAGGAAATATGTTCTACTCACATTCACTTCTAAGTAAATATTCCTCAGCACAAGTCCCAAATGTGCTCTAGCCCTTCTATGTCAAACATACATCATGTTTTGCCATGTTTTTCAGTAAAAGTGTCTAAACATCCCTAAAAAAGGATAAATTCAACTGAGAAGCAAAATTATTTAAGATATTAAGCCTTGTTTTCAGAGAATAGAAGTCATTAGCAAATCAAATTGTTCTTAAGCATTAATAACAAAATATAGTGATGTTTATACTGAAAACTGAAAACAGTTATTTGTGGTAATAACTGCTCTTATATACCTGCAGTAAGTCTATTTCTGAGTTGTTTGTTTGGGCCTTTGTTTCTCTATTGTGTAGTGCCCTCTACTGGATACAAACCTGAACCGACTCTCTGAGATTTACAGTGACACTTGAGACTTGAAACTTAAAAATGTCAAACCAAATGATGTAAGTGGTACTGTACTGACCTTCCCAGTAACAGTATCATTCAGTCTAACCTATATAAGATGTATGAAGAAAAATACCAAGACCCCAAAACAAGCCAGACAAGACTGTGGCCCCTTCCTATTTCTCTAATGTTCAAACCTGCATTAGAGCTTGTGGTGAAATCAGACTCTGTCTCTTATATAGTGAGCCTCTTCTTTCTTCTCTTGATCCTGATTTTTTTCTGATTCAGCTGGATCTTTCGTGTGGACTTGTGTGGAAAGTCCCAGCAATCTGGGCAGGAAGGTCATAATAAAGATATGATGATGCCATTTTGAGGGATCTTTAGTAAATATTCATTCATACAGTCACATTTATACCCATAAGATAAATGTGTATGTGTTTCCCACTAGTTTTTAACCTTGCATTCTGTGCAAGATACACACATAACTGTTTATGATCAGTATATACGGCATCAAGAAATCCAGCAGAATTTAAAAATTCTGCATTTATCACATAAAACAAGTCATATATCAAAACACATAAATAATCATTCATCTCATATGTTTATCTTAAGATAATTTTCAGATACTTTTGTTGTTCTGTTTTGTACTTTTGTTACTGTTCATTCTATAAATATATTCTATTTATTAGGTTATAACAGTGGTTCTTAATCCTGACATGGGAACCCTCCGCTCTACATTTTGTGTGTCTACCTTATCTGACACACTCAGTTCAGCTCATGGAGCTCTCTCCTAATGAGCTGATGATCTGAATCATGTGTGTTAAATAAGGGAGACTTGCGAAATGTGCAGAGCGGCGGGTCCCCAGTCACCAGGATTAAGAACCACTGGGTTATATTATTTATCTTCTTGGTTTATTCATTCATTCATTTATTAAAGCAGGATAACACTAATAAAAATAAATAAATAAATAAAGCTGCATATTTATATAACTATATTATATGCACTCATGTTCATTAATCTGAATTAATCCAAATGATGACAAGCTGGTGGAGGGGGTGTAATGCTCTGGCCAATGTTCTGCTGGGAAACCCTTGTCTGGCCATTCATATGGACATACATTTGACATGTGATAGCTACATGAACATTGTTGCAGATCAGGTACATCCGATCAGGGCTATGATTTTTCCTGATGGCAGTGGCCTCTTTCAGCAGGATAATGCACTTGCCACACTGCACACATTGTTCAGGAATAATTTGAAGAACATGCTGAAGTGTTCAGGATGTTGCCCTGGCCTCCAAATCCAATTGAGCATCTGTCGGATGTGCTGAACCAACAAGTTCAATCCACAGCAGCCCCATCTTAAAGTTTTCTTTACAGCATTCAAGGCCTGACCCAGTCAAAGATTAAAAACACCACCAAACATTCCACTAACAATCATCAAGTGCCGCTTGTTAGAGCTCTGGGGAAATGATGGAACCGAGTCCAGCGTGTGTCTGTGTCATAACCCCCACTTCTAGGAGTGGATTCCAGATGCTCCAGAGGGACGACGATCCCAGGTGAACTCGAGGGATCAAGGAGCTAAGGTGGATCTGTCTTCTTATCAGACCTAGGAGGAGTGACGGGCATGGAGGTCCTAGGTGGAGCTATAGGGTCGACCATCCAGGGCTGGGCTGGAAGTGCAGGTGGGGGTGAACTGATAAGTTCAAGTATGGTCTTTTTTGCCAACATGGAACTGGTTGAAGAGGTGGGAGTGGGAGGCAGGGTGGGAGCATCAAAGTAGGAGACTTGGAGCTAGTTGATAGAGGAGAATTGAGACTGACTGGGATGAGCAGAGGAGGAAGGGATTGGGCACAGAAGAAAACCAAGACATCCAGAATTTCAGGCTGGGGAATGCTGGAACTCTCTGATGCAGGTGGACTGCTATGATCATGATCATTACTTCCTCATCCAGCTCCACCAAGATTCCCACAGGTACAGAAGTACGAGCTGGCACACATACCTGGTCAGACTGCTCAGACCGCTTCAGCTCTGGAATGGACATGCTCAGGTCAATGGTGGGCATCAGCTCTGCTTCTGGGTCCATGCTGCATATGGGCTTGGGCCAGGTGAACAAGGGCATTATGATGGGAAACAAAAATCTGTATTTGTGATATTAGATTACACAACTTATTAAACTGATGTATAAAAAGCAATGGACATTAAGCTGTGCTGACTTTATAATGTGCTGTTTCCATTACAACATAAACTGAGCCTGGCACACTTCTCTCTTTGTCTGTCTCTTCATTAAAAAACTAGCCTTGAAGAAACTTGCCTTACCCACAAAGTAGCAGAAGTCCACTAAACATTGTTTTTGGGATCTGTTTTTCACTTTTTTTGTCATTTACATCTCATAATTTTAAATGCAATGATTGAAGCAGTTTGGTTACTAAACTGCATTTAGGTCTCCAGTTTTCAGTTATTTTGAGCCATCTTTTCGAGGGCATATGAGTTTTGTCTTATTGAAGTCTTGAGAGTTTATGTTTGATCTTTTCCTGTAGGTCTACGACACAAAGGTATTTAAAACTTATTCTTGAAATAAAGGCAAGGAGTCTTTCATATTCTTCTTGGTATTTCAGCCAGAACTGTTCTTATTTGGATATTTTTAAAAGCAACACCAATAGTAGATCACACACAATCCCCTTCCAATATATTGGTATTTTCAAAACAAGAATGTGCTTCCGTATAAGTGGCAATGGCTGAACACCTGTAATAGTTTTCATTAGCTGTTGTCATGTGGATTCTGCTCCTCCCATCACAACTATGCACTGTGTTTCCTCATCACCTGTACAGTCTCTCAGACCTCTGGCAAAAGTAAACACATCTTTAACACAGAGAAGATGAAAAAGAAGTGTCTTTTTGAGGCTAATATTTTTAGATTGTGACAAAACAAAAAGAAAATTACCTTGAAATAAGACACGTCTCTCTGTTTATTTATTTTATTTATAGAATGTTTTTTTTTTATTTCCCACTATTTTAAATCTTTGTAGGTCACTACGAGAAGAACAAGATGCTCCCAAAATAGAATTTTCAAAATGGAATTCCTGTGATGCTTTGCATTTTGTGGTAGGAAAAGGACTATCTGAAAATCATTACAAATTCAACCTAAACTTACCATAAAACAAACTCAAAATTTTTCCTCAAAATGGTCAACTGAAGAATCAAGAAGGATGTATTCAGCTTCACCAATCAAGTACAGTTCTTCATCAAAGGTGTGTAAAACATTCAAACTTCTAGTTGTATTCAATTTGTTCAGTAATATAGGGCCTGTCAAAAAAAAAATTCCTCTACACTTACTCAAGGCATTAAGTAACAAAGCCAATATGTCTTAATAACCATTACAACATTTAAGCTTTGTGCAAGATGCTATAATAGATACCAACATCTTTTTTTAAAAAGGTACACACATTTCTAATGGGGTAGTTGCATATGGTGGCCATGTTAGATTTCCAGTCTAACAAGTGTGTGCATAGACACTTCCAGTTTCGCCTGATGCCGGTGCAGAGAGACAGAGAAAGCCAAAAATGTTCTCACATAATATCACTTCAAATACTATGTTTGCGTCAGGTGAATGGTCTTGGACTCATGGTGTACATGAGAAATGTCCTACTTCCCACTTCTGAAGCCATGATTACCAGCTCGTCACGTTCACATGTTTTGTTGTCGGAAAGAATAGAAATAATACCAGATAGCAACATTGTTTAGTTCCAGATCTGGCCCACATACTGAATGATGGCACTTGGGCGCTCTTCTTCTGCTTTCAGTGCTGTGTTCATCTGACCTTGACTTTTATGTTTTTGTTTTCTATGGCTGCTGTAACTGTTTATAAAACACGTCTGCAGTAGCAAAAAAGCCAAGACAAAATGTGATCAAGTGATGATGGCTAATTATTGATTGTAATTTAAGCATCATGAAGTGGTCTAATTCACTGATCTCTTCTGAATCCTAAATACTGATCATAAGTGTGTTGTTTCATTAATTTTGCACTACCAACCCTGTGATACTGCAGCATGAAAGCCAGTAGTGTTGCAACAATCAGGTATTCAGGATTTTTTTTAAAACGTTGTTCTGCACAAAAAAAGTTTTGAAATACTATATTATTTAGACACACACAGAAATCAACAAGCACTATATGAGTCTCAACAATGGTGACATCAAGAAAAAACTCAAAGTCCAGTTGAAAATTCCTTGAACCTCTTTATTTATTTATTTTTGTGATACTGATATCTTACAGTGTTCCATGACGTCATGAGACATCTACAAACAGGCAGATTCTCAGATCCCATATCTCTGCTAGATGTCGTCTTTGCCATCTAGCGGAAGGTGAGGGATCTTTAAGATAACAGCATTCCTGTGCAGTTACAGTAAATGTCCTGGGGGTTTAAGAAACACAATGATGCAAAATAAAGACATTTTTCAGCCCCAACATGACCCACATCTCATCTGATCGCCGCATTCTGAAGCTGGAAGGACAATGAGATGTTAATCACAAAAACATCCAGACACAACAGCAGTTTGTTTTCATATTTCAGTGAGTTCATGCGTTTAGCTTCTGTCAGATCATTCTCATGTAATGATATTTATTGTGCAAAGAGCAACTGTTACATTGAGATATGTTCATAAAAAGCATAAAAATTTGTGTAAATCAACACAAAGTGTGTCAGATTGATTCAGATTGGCTGATATTCATTAATAAAACATTTGTTCAAAGTTTCCGTTTCACAAAATGTTAGCATTGTTCATGGAGCGTTTATACCTGAATCATTTAGTTGGATGTTCATGTTGGATGTTCAAATGTTACTACTTGATTCAGAAGTAAAATTCCCATTACGTTTGAAGAATGGTGGAATAGAATGTTCCTTAATGTTCAAATAACCAAGAAAAGGTGCTTTTAAAACATTAAAAAATTGGATATTTGAGTTCAGAAAGTTAATCTGAATTGAAACTAGCAACCAAACTTGCATTGCTGTTACTGTAGCCTATAAACAAACAAGGCTTGAAAGATAATTTCAAGACAAGGCTGTGCGTGTGAGACTTTTGCTTTCTCTCTTTTAGTTTCTTTGTAGATCAAAATGAGGATGTCCTGAAATAAAACCACAAAACAGACTGTACTTGTCCACTAATCTACTCTGACAGCTCCTCTTAGTTTCTATGAGTTTCTCCTCCCATCAGAACGTCAGTCAATATTACCTTTGAGTCTCACAGCAACTGGACAATCTGTCAGGATCAAAAGAGAGAGAGAGGAACTATGAGGCAGATCTTTAGGGATTGAGCTCAACTATAAAAAAGAAAACAGGTAATTTCTTGTTGTAGAAAAACTGCTTATTAATTAATTCTTGAAAACCATTTGAAAGGCAAATTTGTGAAAAAGCCAGGCTGTATTTCCCTGTTGTATTCAAATCTCTCTCTTTTATTTTTTCCCTGTATAGGACAGAGTGAGCCAGCAGAAACATATAAGAGAAATGTTTGACTTGAGAAACAGGATACAAAAAAAAGTGTGTTTTAACAAAGTGGTTTATGGCAGGACGCTTCAATCGCATACTCATGTAAGTCTGACTACATTTATTTAATTTACTGCTGTACATTTCCTTATTGGATCAAATGTCACATCATACGTAAGGATGACTATATTTGCCTGCTGAAAAGACCATCTTATTTTTATGATTAGATATCAAACTTAATTATTTAGTGAAACTAGCTCAATACTTTGTGGTCTAACCACTGAAATGAGAAAGAAAACGTCTAGGTTACTTGTGTAACCCTCGTTCCCTGAAGGAGGGAACGGAGACGTTACATCAGTGACTGACGAATTGGGATCTCGCCCGAGAGCCCAATCACCTTCGAGTGTGGTTGTCATGCCTGCTATTGATTAATTCAAGTCTAGACAGACAGATGATTTTCAGATACAGTAAGTCAGAATCATGTTTAATATTAATAATGGTGAAAATTCAGTAGAAGGTCAGGAGTCTTGAATATATTTAAGTAAATCTGACTGAAAAAGAATGAATATCTTGTGGTTAAGCAAAGGAGTTTATGATACTTTGTTGAAAAAGTAGTTTTTCACCCTAATTTCTGAAAACTGAACAAACAAATTTTGACAATTTTATTGAATATTGAACAAAAACGCAAATTAGTCTAAATGACACTATATAACTTTATTTGTGTGTGTGTGTGTGTGTGTGTGTGTTTATGTATTTGTTTGTTTGTGAAATAGACTATGAAATAAGATTGAATGATTCCCTAATTTTGACAATTTTATTGAATATTGAACAAAAACGCAAATTAGTCTAAATGACACTATATAACTTTATTTGTGCGTGTGTGTGTGTGTGTGTGTTTATGTATTTGTTTGTTTGTGAAATAGACTATGAAATAAGATTGAATGATTCCCCTCAATTAGGTTATGATGAATAATGACCATGTTTAAATCTAACTCATGGAACTATTACAAAATTATTCTTTGATTTTTAATAACTTTAATTAGCATACATGAAAGTTCAGTGAATTGTTTTCAGACAAATTTGTTTCTCTGAGCACTGAGCAGTGCTCGGTTGGTTCTCACCTGTAGCATCTGGCTTCAGTGGTTCGAAAATTTTGCGTTTTTTGTGAAACCTGTTGAACACTGACTAGTGAGCCAGATCTCATTAATTAAAAACAGCTTACAAACTGGCCAAACCTTGCATTAAAAAATGATTGTAATTTTAAAGGGTTAGTTCACCCAAACTGAAAATTGTGTCATTAATTACTCACCATCATGTCATTCCAAACCCATAAGACCTTTGTTCATCTCCAAAACACAAATTAAGATATTTTTTGATGAAATCCGAGAGCTTTCTGACCCTGCTTAGACAGCAACACAACTGAAATGTTCCAAGGCCCATGAAAGGTAGTAATGACATCATTAAAATAGTGCATATGACATCAGTGGTTCAACCATAATTTTATAACGCTACAAGAATAATTTTTGTGTGCAAAGAAAACAAAAATAAGGACTTCATTCAACAATTTCTTCTATTCCGTGTCAGTCTTTGACGTGCGTTTATGAGAGTATCTCAACGCATGCGTGTGGTGCTGCTGACGCAG